TGTGTTAAGTAGCTGTGATGTTTATTATCACCTCCTCTAATGCAGACATAGTAAGCCTTTCTGATTATAGATGAGTAGAGGAGAAATGCCATTCCTAATTCTGATACTTAACATCTTCATTTCTATCATATTCATCCCCACCCCCATGGGTTCCATACTTGCCCACACTGGACTGGTGGTCTTCTTTCTATTAATTACGTATATGTCTTTTTTATAGAGTGTTTATTTTTTGTTTTTGAGACAGGGTCTCACTCCCTCATCCAGGCTGAACTGCAGTGATGTGATCATAAATCACTGCAACCTCAAACTCCTAGGCTCAAGGAATCCTCCCACCTCAGCCTCCTGAGTAGTTGAGACTACAAGTGCATGCCACCACACCCAGCTAATTTTTTTTTTTTTTTTTTTGTAGTGATGCTGTCTTGCTGTGTTGCCCAGGCTGATCTCTAACACCTGGGGTCAAGCAGTCCTTCTGCCTTGGCTTCCCAAAATGCTGGGAATAGAGGCATGAGCCACTAGGCCTGGCCAAAAATATTTTTAGAAGTTTGATGTCTACACAGTTTAAGTTTACTTATATTCTCTCTCAGAATTCATTGTTGGTACCATTCTCTTGCTTTTTTTTCTTTTTTTCCTTGAAATGTAGCCCTTTTGTATATTCTAGGGTGGTGTGAAAGAACAAGCATTTTATACTGTCATTTAGGCAAATGTATATGTCCTCTTTATATGTCTTCTCTTTGCACTTAGTATAGTATGCATTAATCTGGGCTGAGAACAACTTCCTTGTGGCATAGTAATCATTTGGTCATTTACTCAATAACTAAAATTCTGTTTGTACATCATTTTACCATTTATAGAGGCCTTTCATATTTGTTTATTTGATCTGAACAATCCTGTTAGATCATTGTAATCACCACCTTCAGCTGATAGGCTAAGAATCTGAGACTTATAAGGGTCAATAGCATGGCCTAGTACTTCCCAGCTGGGTAATGGCTCCTCTACAGGATCATGCTGTTGTCTCTCTTACAATCCTGTTATTTCTGTACTTACTGGTCAAGACTGCAATTGCTCTGTGTGCTGGAATATGCTTTACTGATTTTAATTAGCACTTTGGATACATAATTTCATTATTTCATTTCCCCAATATTTCTGTTAATTAGGCAGGGCCGGCATTATTAGTGCCATTTTACAAATAAGGATGGTGCAAATCAGGATGGTTAAGTGACTTGTCCCAGTTTGCAGAACTGGTATTTAAAAAACAAAAACCGGCCGGGCGTGGTGGCTCACACCTGTAATCCCAGCACTATGGGAGGCCGAGGCAGGCAGATCATGAGGTCAGGAGATCGAGACCATCCTGGCTAACATGGTGAAACCCCGTCTCTACTAAAAAATACAAAAATTAGCTGGGCATGGTGTTGGGTGCCTACAGTCCCAGCTACTCAGGAGGCTGAGGCAGGAGAATGGTGTGAACCCGGGAGGCGGAGCTTGCAGTGAGCTGAGATCGCGCCACTGCACTCCAGCCTGGGTGACAGAGCGAGACTCCGTCTCAAAAAAAACAAAAACAAAACAAAACAAAAAATAACAAAAACAAAACAGAAACAAACAACAAAAACAAGAAAGGGTCCTCATACTCTTAGCCTACTGCCATTCCCAATGCCCCATGCTGCTGCTTTGCTCTGCTGTAAGACATGTTGGAAAATGAAATAACATTTTTATTCCTGAGATTCCACTGAAACCATTATCTGGTTATGCTGTGTACTAAAGTCTAAAACATTAAAGTTAAATGGCAGCTATCAGTTTAACTTTGCATGAGTTTTATATGCCATAGTGCTACTGCAATTAATGGAATGCATAGAATCCAATAACACATTGTCAGAAAGGTGTTACTCAAGGGAAAGATAGTACAAGGCAAGGGAAAATAATGCAAGAGGAGATGTGTTTTAGAATATGGTCTCATAGGGGAAGAAGAAGAATTTTTTCTTCAAGCCCTATAGGTTGGAAAGGACCCATGTAACAAAAGACAGATTAATAGGAGAAAAACAAACATTTATTAACATTTTCTATCAGTTTTCTGTGCTTATAACAGAATATCTGAAATTGGGTAATTTATAAAGGAAACAAATTTATTTCTTACAGTCACAGTGGATGGGAAGTCCAAGGTCCAGGGGGTGCATCTGGTGAGAGCTTTCTTGCTGGTAGGAACTCTGAAGAGTCTTGAGGTGGTGTAGGGTATCACATGGCGAGGGGGCTGAGTGTGTTAACATGCCAGCTCAAGTTTCTCCTCCTCATTTTGTAAAGCCACAAGTTTCCCTCCCACGGCATCTCATTAATCTATTAATCCTTTATCCATTAATCCCACCTCTCAATACTGCCACATTGGGGATTAAATTTCAACCTGAGTTTTGAAAGGGACAGATATTCAAACCATAGCACACGTGTGTACTATGGAAGACATATATATGGAAGACATCCAGAAAGTAGTTCTCAAAAAAGGTGTTTTCAATTCAAGTTTATTATGTAGCAAATTCAACTAAGAGCAATAAATTGCTAGAGAAGTGACATGGCAAAGGAGAAGGACTTTGAGTCTCTGATGGCAGCAACTTGTGAGAAGGCAAATAAATGGCAGATAAAGACCATCTGGTAAAGTTAAATATAGATTTCTCTGGTATCATCTCCACATAATAAGAATCTGAAGTTATCTTCACTGATTAACCTTTGTTCTCACTGGTAGAAGGTGGGCAGGCAGAATGCCTTTTGTCTTTGTAAATCTATGTTTTACTTTTAGGCAAATAGAGGGAGGGCAGAGAGCTTTCCTGAATCTGCTTCTTCTTAAATTGCCTTTGCTCAAAATCCTTCATATTTTGGGGGTGGCATCTTCTGGTTTCCCTCAGTATTAGTCTCCTCATCCTGCTCTTAGAGTAATTCTCAGGTCCCTCAGCCTGTAGGAGGACTTGCAGGGAGGGGAAATCTGTACCTTTTTTTAATACAGGGTCTCACTCTGTCAGCCAGGGTGGAGCACAATCTCAGCTCACTGCATCCTACATCTCCTGGGCTCAAGCCATCCTACTGTTTCAGCCTCCCAAGTAGCTGGGACGACAGACACAAGCCACCATGCCCAGCCAATTTTTGTATTTTTTGTAGAGACAAGGTTTTGCCATGTTGCTTAAGCTAGTCTTGAACTCCTGGGCTGAAGCCATCTGCCTGCCTCAGCCTCCCAAAGTGGTGGGATGACAGGTGTGAGCCAGCTGTACCGTGGTTTTGCTTCATAATCCATACCCATTGTTTAATCAGTAAAATTGATTGATTATGGAAACAACAGCCTGTCTGCAGAGCATCTTGAGCATATATGTGGTTCAGCAGGAAGAATCTGTAACTGAGCAGATAGAAAGTAGTGTCTGGAGGCCGGGAGCGCTGGCTCACGCCTGTAATCCCAGCACTTTGGGAGGCTGAGGCGGGCAGATCACAAGGTCAGGAGATCGAGACCATCCTGGCTAACACGGTGAAATCCCATCTCTACTAAAAATACAAAAAATTAGTTGGGCGTGGTGGCATGCACCTGTAGTCCCAGCTTCTCAGGAGGCTGAGGCAGGAGAATGGCGTAAACCCGGGAGGCGGAGCTTGCAGTGAGCTGAGATCCGGCCACTGCACTCCAGCCTGGGCGACAGAGCCAGACTCCGTCTCCAAAAAAAAAAAAAAAACCAATACTGTCTGGATTTTTTTTTTTTTTTTTTTTTTTTTTTTTTTTTTTTTTTTTTTTTTTGAGATAGAGTCTTGCTCTATAGTCCAGACTTGAGTGCTCAGGCATGATCATGGCTAACTACAGCCTTGCTCTCCCTGACTCAAGCAATCTTCTTACCTCAGCTTCCAGAGTAGCTAGAACTACAGGCATGCCACCATGCCCAGGTTTTTTTGTTTGTTTTTTGTTTTTGTAGAGACAGAGTCTTACTCTGTTGTCCCGGTGGAATTCTTTATGATCATAATGACTCTTCACTCCAGGATTTCCCTTTAGTTGTGGTATTTGTATAATCCTTGGTTTGATTGTGAATTTCTATGTAATCTAGCAGCTGTTTTTTGCTATGTCACACCTGCATGCACGTGAGTCCATGTTCATGGAGTTGGGCATGAGTAGTGTGTTGTGTCAAGGAGGTGAAACATTACTGAGGTGGGTGGCTTTAGGTAGTATATACCAAGTTATGCTTCCAAGATAATCCTGCAGGAAAATTTATTGTAGGGAAGAGGATGATATGGTGCAGTGATAAAACGGGGAATTAGGAATCAAAAGGTTTGAGTTCCCACTGCACTGCTTACTTGCTTTCTGATCCTAACAAGTTTCTAACTCCTCCAAGCCCCCATTCATCAAATGATATATAGAAACGCCCTCTCAGGGGGTTGCGAGGATCTAATTAGAGGCTATCAAAGACTCTTTGTACATTGTAAAGTGCTATTCAGATATTATTTATTTTAATAAACAGTAATTACTTTATGTCAGGCTCTATAACAAAAATTCTTACAATTCAGACTTCCTATCAACACTGCAAAGCCGGCATTATTATCGCCGTTAGTCAGTAAGGAACCTGGCATACAGAGAGTGAGTAACTAAGTAACTTGCTCACCTACTACTTTTAAGTGATGGTTCCCAGTTTAAGTTCCAGCTCCTTTTTTGCTGTGTTGTCGTGCTCTTGATAAAGTATAAATGGTAGAGGTTTGAACTTTAACAACAACTTGGATTACGCTTCTGAAAAATGGAAGTGGTGCTCTAGACTAGGAGTCAGGAGGTTCAGACCGTTACTATATTTTTGTATTATTTTGGGGTAAGTTACTTAATTTCATTAAATTCATTTAAAACACTTGGCTATGTTTCTGCTAAGGTTTATATGTAAAATGCTTTCTTATTCTTTTTTTTTTTTTTTTATCATTTTCAGAATTTAAAAATTTCCTTTGAAGGGATCAAAAGTATTTTGTGAATCTGTTTTAATATTTGTTTGCTTGTTTTTCTTTTTTTAAAGTCATTCCTACACTGGCCAAGATTACAGTACCCAGGGAAATGTTGGAAAGATTTCTTTAGAACAGATTGATTCGGTAAGTAGCACATTCTTTTAAACTTCGAACTTTATCAATGGAGGGAACATATACTTTCTTAAATCAAAGACTTTTGGGTGAGGAGATAGAATGTGTTTCCAATGCTTGCTGATTAATTTTAAAGAAAATCCCATGTCCTACACATATGATTTTTTAAAAATCATAGGAAAATCGTTTAATCAGAAAATTACCTGTACTTTTATAAAAGCAGAGTTTAATCAGTTATTCCAAACGGAAATTCTTTTAAATAACTAAATGGAATTTGTGTTTACATTTAAATACTGTATACATTTAATGAAGGGGAAATGGAAAACACTAAGTGTATTAGTTTGTTAGGGCTGTCATGACAACAGAAATTTATTTTCTGACAGTCTAGAGGCTTGAAATCCAAGATCAAAGTGGTAGTAGGTTTGATTGCTTCCAAGGCCTTTCTTGTCTCACAGCTGACTGCCTTCTCTTTGTGTTCTCCTGTGGTTTTCCCACTGCTTGCATACATCCCTGGTGTCTCTTCTTTTTGTAAGGACACTGAGTACGTGAGACCTGGGCCCAAGCCCCATGGCCTCCTTTAACCTTAATGATTTCTTTAAAGGCCCCATTTCTAAATATAGTCACATTTGGAGCTACTAGAGGTCAGGACTTTGATATATGAAATTCAGGGGGAGAGGGCAATTCATCACCTAGTGTAGGCTACGAAATTAACAGATAGCTTATTTTAACATCATTTCACTTTGTGGTTCCATAGAGTAGCGTACTTTGCCATACTTGTAGAATTTCTCTTTAATACGTAGCAGAATTTGCGCTCCATACACAAAAGGGAAAATAAGCCAGCCATAAATAATCTTGGGTTAGACAACTACCAAATTATTCACAATAAATTAAAAATACACCAGGATTTTAATGCTTGGAAACAAGAACTGTAATAAGACTAGTAGAGAGAGACCATGAGTTTGGATCAGAATGATTAGGTCATCTTCCATTTGAAAAATTATAAAAAAGTACTTGTAGTTAATATGTCTAGAAATAACAATAGGGTTGCCTACTTTACACAGTTGATTTGTTGATTTGAAATTTATTCTCAAAGATGTCCCATCTTTTAATTTTTTTATTAAACACTTATCTCTAACAATCTCCCTTCTCACTTCCACTCATATGATTTGTGTTTATATAATGTGAGTGGTTGGAAGTTAATTTTGTTCCTAGTTCTAGCTAGATGTTTCCCCATTCACAAGCATATGTGAATTTGGTTGGATACTGTTGGAGTTCATAGAAATATTAATTCATTTAATGAATATATATTGAGCTCATCAGTTATGTACCAGCCATTGTGCTGTGGATACAGAAGTGAGGAAAACAGAAAATGTCCCTGCCTTCATGGACCTTACATGAGGGAGAGAGACAACATAATAAATAGTAAATGAGCAATATAATGTTAAGTGTTATGATGATGATCCTGTCATGGGTCTGTGCCTGAGACCCCGTGGTAAGTAATACAGATGTATCTTTTTCTGGACTGCCTTCTAACTCTGTATCTGTATTGTTTCATCTTCACAACAGCATGTCATTTGCATATCCCTTGATATTTGCAACTTGTCTCCAAATGTTTTCTTTAGTTTTTTCTTCTAACAAATCTGGCTTTCTCAATGCTATTTCCCCTGTGGCCCTCTTCAAGTAGAGACAACTTTCCCCCCGAGTTCGTACATAGGTGTACAGTGAGTGTCTTGGTCCACGTTTCTCCGCCTTCCATTGTTACAGCTCCAGCTCCTTTAAAGCCCTTGTGATCTTATTATATCATCTGATACCTCCTCTGTTGTTACTCCACCTCCTCCCTCCACACCTGTATTCACTGATGATTTGAACACCTAACTAATGATCTTGTGTACTGGTGCTATTCTTGTTATTGTTCTTGGCCTCTACAAGATCCACGTTGATAATTCATCCTCTATCCTGGACTTATGATTCTTTTGTTTGCTCATTTTCCATATTCATTTTTCTATCTGTATATAGCTGGACACTATCTTTTAAATTTTTATTATTTGGATTACTGCCCACACCTCTTAAATATCCCTCCTGCTTCCATTCTTACTCTCATATAGTCTTTTCACTACATAACAGCCAGAGTTCTCTTTGTTTATTGAATCACGTCAGTCTTCTGGTCAGAACCCTCTAGTGGGTTTCATCATATGTAGACTAACATCCAAACTCATTTTATGGCCTCTGAAGCCATATGTGCTCATCATTTCTATTTTGTCTTCTGCTCCATTCTGGCTCACTCACTTGCTCTGGTCACATGGATCTTATGCTATCTTTTAGCACACCATGTTTATTCCTTCTCAGGATCTTCATTTCACTAGAATCCAACTTACCTTGTCTTACTTGAAATGCCATCTCCTCAAAAAGGCTTCCCTGGCCACCCAAATTGAAGTACCTCTCCCCTAATCACACTTGATTTCATTTCTCTATTTCATTTCCAGTGCTTTGGCATCAGATGTTATCTTTTTAATGTCTGTATTCATTGTCCATCTCCTTCTAATAAAATATAAGCTCTTTGAGGACAGGGTTTTTGACTTCTTTGTTGACTACTGGTTCCCCAGGGCTGTACACATAGTAAGTGTTAAATAAATATTTGTTGATTGAATGAATAAAAAGTGGTCAAGGAATGTGCCAAAAGAAATAGAAATTGAGTTGGGTCTTGAATGATGACTTGGCTTTGGCTACATGGCGTGTGCATGAGAAGGGTGCACCAGGTAGGGCTAGCAGAGTGAGAAAAATGAGAAGCTACAAAGCATGACTGCGTGGTCATGGGATAGTGAATAACCCAGTGGACTGGAGCCGAAGACTCGTTTTGGTGTAGTAATAGTACACTGGACTTTCCCGGGCTCCCTGCCACAGTGCTTCTGTGGTGCTCAAGTTTTGCCCTTGTTGGAGCCTTCATTTTATCATTTATTTCATGTGTTTAACTTACCTAATAGTGAATATAATCATTGTTCTGGTTTTTTCCTTAACTGAATTGAAGGGGAAAATTATGTCCTAGCTTATTTTCCAGAACACTTAATAAATAATTGTTCTGTTATGTAGAATTGAAAAATAGTTATTGGCCAGGCACAGTGGGTCATGCCACCTGTAATCCTAGCACTTTGAGAAGCTGAGGTGGGAGGATCACCTGAAGTCAGGAGTTCGAGACCAGCTTGGCCAACATGGTGAAACCGTGTCTCTACTACAGATACCAAAATTAGCTGGGCGTGTTGGCAGGCACCTGTAATGGCTACTACTGAAGAGGCTGAAGCAGGAGAATTGCGTGAACTTGGGAGGCAGAGTTTGTAGTGAGCTGAGGTGTCACTGCTGTACTCCAGCCTGGGCAACAGAGTGAGATTCCATCTGAAAAAAAAAAAAGAAAAGGAAAAAAAAAGAAAAGTAGTTATCAGATATTGAGGAAACCTTGAATGTTCATACTAAGGATGTTGAATATTGATTGTATAGATTAGAACAATGTTTAGAAAAAAATCAGATATTAATATGAGGGAACAAAAATGGTCACATGAAAATGAGCTGAAAGGCTTTCTAGTTAGTTCTACCAAGGAAAGATATAGGTCTGAATGAACTAGACTGGGGATGGAAAAATTCAGAAACTGTTACTGTAAAAGAGTGAAGAGAAACTGGATGGTCACTAGAGGGAGCAGCAAAGTCAAGCAAAGTGAGACCTGCTGTTATAGATGAAGTGAACTTGCTAAGGCATATGTGAAGGAGTGAGAATTTAAGTCTTGGGAGGATATTTAAAGAAGTCGTAGAGAATGCAGTTGAAACCATAAGTGAAAAATTAAAGTGGGCAACAATATTTCCTTTTTGACACTAAGGGAAAGACCTACACTTTGTTCCTTTTAACTTGATTTCTTTAACACATTTATTTGAATTTTCCTTATGAGAACAATTTCTCTTATTTTTGTGTTCTGCTTTGTATTTGAGTTATCTTAAAAGTTCATCTGCTATTCAGCAATTGTGCTTTTATCTCAGGGAAATGAAATCTTATGTTCACATAAAAACCTCTTCAAGAATGCTCATAATAGCTTCATTTGAAATAGCCCAAACTGGAAACAACCCAAGTGTTCTTCAGTGAGTGAATAGTTAAATAAATTGTGATACATACCATGGAAAACTACTTAGTGATAAAGAAATTAGTTTATATACAACTTAGATGAATCTTGAGGGAATTCTGCTGAACAAAAAATGACAATCTCAAAACAATACGTATTATATGATTCTATTATGTAATACTCTTGAAATGACAAAATTATAGAGATGGAGAACAGATCAGTGGTTGCCAAAGATTAAGGAGCTGAGGGAGGGGAGTAGGGTGCAAAAGATAGATGGGGGTGGTTATAAAATCATGAGAGATCCTTGTGGTGACAGAACTGTTCTGCATCTTGACTGTGGTGGTGGATGTATCAACTTATGTGTGACAAAGTTGTATCGAATTTAATACGGAAGTAAGTGCATGAGTACAACTGAGGAAACCTGAATAAGACTAGTGGATTGTATCAATATCAGTATCCTGTTTGTGATAATCTACTGTAGTTGTACATGGTTTTCTCTTTGGGGGAATTTGGATATATGCTATCTCTTTGTGTTATTTTTTGTAACTGTGTGGGGGTCTATAGTTAACTTCAAAGAAAAAGTTTAATTTAATTTTAAAAAGGTAAAGTAAAATTTAATAGTATGTTATTTAACCCAAAGTATCTAAAATATTATATTACTTGTAACCAATTAAAAAATGTTGGCCGGGCGCAGTGGCTCAAGCCTGTAATCCCAGCACTTTGGGAGGCCGAGACGGGTGGATCATGAGGTCAGGAGATCGACCATCCTGGCTAACATGGTGAAACCCCATCTCTACTAAAAAATACGAAAAGCTAGCCGGGTGTGGTGGCGGGCGCCTGTAGTCCCAGCTACTCGGGAGGCTGAGGCAGGAGGATGGCATAAACCCAGGAGGCGGAGCTTGCAGTGAGCTGAGATCTGGCCACTGCACTCCAGCCTGGGCGACAGGGCGAGACTCCGTCTCCAAAAAAAAAAGTTAATAAGAAACATCTGATATAGATAAGAGTCATCTGTAACCACAGCAATAAAGAAGCACTTTCTTATGGGGTTTGTTTTTTATTCCAATTAAATTGAATTAGCAACCATAACAAATACTACAGGGAACCTGATAAATCTTCCACGTAACTTAAAACTCTTCTGTTTTTTCTTGTAGCTTTCTACCAAATCCTTCCCACCTTGCATGCGTCAGTTACATAAAGCCTTGCGGGAAAATCACCATCTTCGTCATGGAGGCCGAATGCAGTATGGCCTATTTCTGAAAGGCATTGGTTTAACTTTGGAACAGGCATTGCAGTTCTGGAAGCAAGAATTTATCAAAGGAAAGATGGATCCAGACAAGGTAATTTTGAAAAAAAAAAATCAGAGTGGTACCTGATATTTTAAATTGGTCTGAAAATCAAACAGTCTATTTTTTTTTAAATACGCTCTCTGCAATGTAGTTGAAAATTCTAAAAGGATAAATGTGTTGACAATTCAGTTTAGATAAAAAGAGACTTGCATATTAATCTAATAACAAAAGATTGGGAAAGGAATGTTTTCCTTTGTAGGTATACTGCCAGTAGTAATTATAAGACTGAAATTGCTTTCAGAGTTATATTTCTGTAGGAATGTATATGTATCTACACATACACATACATATACATATGCACATAATGTTTTGAGCACCGGGAGATATCATGAACAAATAAAGTGAAAACAATTTAAAATATTTTCTATTATGTTATACAGAATCTTTTATACACTTTTTTTTTTTTGGAGACAAGGTCTTCCTCTGTTGCCCAGGGTGGGCTGGAGTGCAATGGTGCAATCGTGGCTCACTGCAGTCTCAACCTTTGGGCTCAAGTGATCCTCCCACTTCATCCTTCTGAGTAGCTAGGGCCACAGGTGCACACCATTATGCCTGGCTAATTTTTTTTTTTTTTTAATTTTTTGTAGAGATGGAGTCTAACTATGTTGCCCAGGTTGGTCGCAAACTCTTGGGCTCAAGCCATTTTCCTGCCTTGGTGTGCTTGGGATTACAGCCGTGAGCCTGAGTCATCATACCCAGCCTATAGAACATTTTTAGATAGACAATAATCATTATAAACCTGAACAACTTTTTAAAAAACCTATCCACAGTGCTTATATTCCGAATCCTACTCCTTATTTCTCTTTAATAGTGCCAGCTAATAACATTTTATTTGGAAATATGATTTCTTGCTGCCTCTATGCCATGACACTGTAGTATGAAGAACATTTTTTACTATTTATTTCTTGATTTGCTGCCTCCTAAGAGTAAATTATAGAAGAAAGATTATTTACGAGGTACGTTTTATAGTACATTTTATGTTTTATGTTAGTTTGCAAGCGTTGCCATAATAAAATACCACAGACTGGTTGGCTTAAAAAACAGCAGTTTATTTCCTCACACTTCTGGAGGCTGGAGTCCGAGATCAAAGCATTGGCAGATTTGGTTTCTCCTGAGGCCTGTCTTCTTGGCTTACAGGTGGCCTTCCTCTTGCTTTGTGCTCACATGGCCTTTTCTCTGTGCATGTGCTTCCCTGGTGTTTCTTCCTTTTCTTATAAATACACTAGTTTTACTGGATTAGGGCCCCACTCATCTGATCTCATTTAACCTTAATTATCCCTTTAGAGGCCCTTTCTCCAGTTACAGTTGGATTTGGAGTTAGGGGTTCAACAAATGACTTTTAAGAGATCACAATTCAGTTCATGTCTCTAGCTATATAGTTTATTAAAAAGCTCAGATTTTACAAAATAACGTTATAAAAAGCTCTTACATTTTTTTCAGATTTGTTTTAAAAACTGTCTTCGTTGACCATTATCCATATAATCTTAATGAAGTCATTTAATAGGATTTTCTTTGAACAGTTTTGGATAATGTTTTTTAGACCTCTATTATATTTCTTTTAAAGGTAATTTATTCTAATTATAGAAAATATGAAAAATACAGAAAAATTCACCTGTTATCCTCCAATTTGAAATAATTACTCTCAACATTGTAGCCTTTTACTCTAGTCTGGACAACTAAACACCACTGATTTTCACCATTCTAAAAATTGTCATTATATTATGATTATTTTTCCATACTTTGACCAGTCTTTGAAAATATCTTAATTCATTACAAACTATTATATCCTTTGAAAGTGCTGTAATTTGACTCTGTTATATATGTTACTAATATAAATAACAGAGTCAAATAGCTAATATCCTGGGGACATAGATAATTGATTATAGTTTTGATTATATTCTTTGTGTGTGTGTGTATGTATATATATATATACACACGCACACACATTCATCAGGAAATAAAATTATCTGATAAGAAACTACACACAGCTGGGCGGGTTGACTCACGCCTATAATCCCAACACTTTGGGAGGCCAAGGTGGGTGGGTCACCTGAGGTCAGGAGTTCAAGACCAGCATGGCCAACGTGGTGAAACACCATCTCTACTAAAAATACAAAAATTAACCAGACATGATGATGGATGCCCATAATCCCAGCTACTCAGAAGGCTGAGGCAGGAGAATCACTTGAACCTGGGAGATAGAGGTTGCAGTGAGCTGAGATCGTGCCACTGCACTTCAGCCTGGGTGACAGAATGAGACTTCATCTCAAAAAAAAAGGAAAATAGACACAATTTTAAAGTTTTAATGCATGCTGTGAAATGACTGTTCAGAAAGGTTTTAAATTAGACTCTCTTCAAGGGATGTGAGAATTTTGCTCTGCCATTGACATCTTTATGTATATTATTAATTTAAAACAGTTTTTGATCTTTTTATTAGGAATTCGATGTCTTAAGTAGGTAGATATATTAGGGTTCTCCAGAGAAACAGAACTGTGTGTGTGTTTGTCTCTCTGTAACTTACACACACACACTCTCTCACACACACACACACACAGAGCGAGAGATAGAGAGATAGGGGTTATAGAAGTTGACAAGTCTCAAGATCCTCAGTTGGCAAGTTGGAGACCCAGGAGAGCCAATGTTGTAGTTGTAGTCTGAATCCAAAAGCCTGAAAACCAGAAGAATGATAGTGTACAGTTGATCCTCGATATACACAGGTTTGAACTGCATGGGTCCACTTATATGTGGATTTTTTTCAATAAGTATACTGGAAAATTTTTTGGAGATATGCAACAATTCGAAAAAACTTGCAGATGAACCACCTAGCCTAGAAATATCAAAAAAGTAAGAAAAAATTAAGTATAAAGGAATGCATAAAATACATACTAGTCATATTTACTAACATGAGATATGCAGGAATCTATTGCAAAAAGTTAAAATTTATCAAAACACATGCACACAAACGTACAAACCATACTTGGTGCTATTCCCAGTAGAGAGAAATGTAAACAAATGTAAAGATGCAGTATTATAACCTACATAAAATTAACTGTAGCACATTCTGTACTACTATAGTAATTTCATAGCCCCACCCTGTTGCTATTGTGGTGAGCCTATAAGTGTTGCAAGTATCCGCTTAAAACGCTCTGCGATGCTAATCATCTCAGTGTGAGCAGTTTGTACAGTAAATTGCATATTGCAGTAAAGTGATCTCTCACAGTTCTTGGGTATTTTTCATCATGATCAGTGAAATATCGTAAACCTTTGATAACACCATGGGGCTCATAGGTAGTGTCACTAGTAATGCTGGAAATGCTCCCCAAAACCAGAGAAAAGTCATATTACAAGAAAAAGTTGATTTGCTTGATATGTAATACAGATTGAGGTCTCCGGCTAAGGTTGACTGCCATTTCAGACAGATGGTTCATCTTGTAAATAGATAATGTAAACTTATGGTTTACTGTAAATGTATTTTCTTATGACTTTCTTTTTCTTTTTGTATTTTTAGTTGAGATGGGATTTCACCATTTTGGCCAGGATAGTCTTGACTCCTGACCTCAGGTGATCTGCCTGCCTTGGCCTCCCAAAGTGCTGGGATTACAGGTGTGAGCCACTGTGCCTGGCCTATTACGACTTTCTTAATGTTTTTTTTTCTTCTAGCTTATTTTTTTGTGAGGTTACAGTGTATAACATATAATATTCAAAATATGTGTTAATCGACTGTTTATGTTATCGGTAAGGCTTATGGTCAACAGTAGGCTTTTAGTTGTTAAGTGTTTGGGGAATAAAAAGTTGTACATGGATTTTTAACTGTATGGAGTGAGGGGTGGAGGTTGTTGCCTATAATCCCTTCGTTGTTCAAGGGTCAGCTTTAGTTCCAACTCAAATGCCAACATCCTAGAGACCCAGAAAGAGTCAGTGTTTCAGTTTAAAAAATGAGGTCCCAGTTTAAGGAAGTCAGACAGAAGGAAATTCCCTCTTACTCACAGGAGGTCAGGCTTTTTGTTCTGTTTAGGCTTTCAACTGATTGGATGAGAATTATCCACATTAGGTAGGGCAGTCTGCTTTACTCAGACTACCAATTCAAATGTTAATCATATCCAGAAACACCCACTCACACACACCCACTATAATGTTTGACCAAATGTCTGGGCATCTCATGGCCCATTCAAGAGCTGGGTTGTTTGTTTTTTTTTGAGACAGAGTCTCGCTCTGTCATCCAGGCTGGAGTACAGTGGCGCAATCTCAGCTCACTGCAACCTCTGCCTCCCAGGGTTCAAGCGATTCTCCTGCCTCAGCCTTCCAAGTACCTAGGATTACAGGTGTGCACCACCATACCCAGGTAATTTTTGTATTTTTAGTAGAGATGGGGTTTCGCCATGTTGCTCAGGCTGGTCTCAAACTCCTGACCTCAGGTGATCCACCTGCCTTGGCCTCCCAAAGTGCTGGGATTATAAGCGTGAGCTACTACCACCATGCCCGGCTGGTGAGCTGGGCTGTTTTGAAGTGAAAAGAGAGAAACTGAGCTAGCATTTTAGCTTGGTTTGTGCTGTAAACTGAGAGTGGAAAAAGGAGGGTAGAGAGGGAAAACCAGCGGCACCAACCTATATGGACACTTACCCTGAGTACTAGGTCTTTGGCTTAGACACCTGTTCATTGGCCTGCCTTCTTTTATGTACATCTGGAATAGCCTGTGTAGCAATATCATCAGTAGTCTTTTTTTTAACTTGTATGTTTAAATTTTTTTATTATGGAATTTTTATTTTGCAATGCAAACTTTTTTCAAAAATTCTTATAATTTTTTAGTTTTCTAGATAATATATAGTAGTCTATTTTTATTAGCTTATTGATTACAGCAAATATTTTGACTAAAGGATTATAAGACACATTTCTTACTTTCTATGACTATTTAGTGTTCTGTTGTTACATAGTCTGTATTTATAAATGTTCATGTTTTTCTCAACTGTGTCTTTTACATATTTTTTTCAATG